CTAATTGGTTCATTTTATATGTGAGGGGTCCTCAGTGAAACTAAGGCAACCTGATCTTTTTAGACAATTGCATTCTATATTCGTGTAAAAATTTTATTTATCTAGAATTAACAGTTTGACTTTCTAGTGAGTCAAACTGAATTTCTTGTTCCCTCACCTCTAAAATTTAAGCCAAGATATAAAGAGAGATTTTGATTCAACAAAAGCAAAAGAGAACGTCACTGAAACGCCACCTATAAATTATTATATGAGTAGGGAAAGGTTCATTTGAATAAAAAATGTGCATCACTGACGAAAGTAAATCGCTGCATTTGCACCTCTGACGACATGTAACGAAAACCGCAATACTATAACACAATTTTTAATTTAAAAAAAGCATTAAGTCTGCATAGTTTTGCCCTATTATTACAAATGTTGTTCTCTCAATCAACTTTTATCTCAGAGCCAAAATCAAAACCAAATTTAAAATAGCATCCTTTTTGGAAGAAATTATGCTGTAAAACTCAGTAGTGACAAAAAGAAAAAATTAAGCAAGTATAGAACGCTTCTTGACTAACCCAGTAAACACAGTTGTGACATTAACGTGACAGGTACGTACTCACAAAAGAACAATGAGTACATCGCATAATTATGTCGTAACGATATACCTGGAACGTAAGCTATATAACATCACAATGGAGTACTCATGCTATGTAACCAACATGTAATGTTGACTACATTTACTAGATATCTCACTATTATGTCGCAGCGATATAGCTTGCATATAAGCGTTTAAATATCACACTGTGGTACTCCTGTTATGTAACTAACACCTAATGTTAACTGTAGTTACTAGATATCTGATTAATATATATACATGCCTCGGAATGTTTTATTTGTATTAGTTAATTATGTAAAGTGCTTTTCAGTTCATTTTACAAAATGGCATCTCAAATCGAAAATTAACGTTTCTGACAGGGCAACACCAAATAACTGATACGATTTTGGTTGATTTTGTTTATTTACATGAGTTTGTGAGGTTAGTTGACAGCTCTCATTGATTCGGGGTATCGATATTTTCCCCTCCCTCAATCAATTTGGGTATTTCAGACCGCGCATGCCACAGAAAGGAAAAAAAAAAACCAGGAGGGACTCCATTTTGATTTTTCGAGTCGTTGGGAACGGGTGCAAGTGTTTTCAGGGTATCCAGTGCGAAGGGGCCATTTTTGGAGGTAGAGCCCTTATTTTAGCCAGTTGTGGCATTACTCTTCTCCAAATTGCGTTAGAGACGATTTGAGGCCACCGCATTTGGGAAAACGAGGACGTGTGTCCTGTGTTTTTGAGACCCCCGAAAATTCACTTTAAGGCCGCACACCATCAGAGGCCTTTTTCTTTTTCGTCTTCGCTTTACTTTTATCGTTGGGTTTTTTTTTTCCTCCTCTTCTCTACGTGTTGCCATCTTTTTGCGCTCTTGGCGTGGAAAGGTTTTTCTGTGTGAAGTTTGGACGAAGGTCAATTAGCCGCCCCGCCCCACCCCATTTTCTAAGTGAGGACGCCGTGTTGGACTCCGGAAAGAAGGAGAGGCGTTAGTTATAGGGTATTAGGTATTATTTTATTTTCTTGTATTTTTTTTTATTATTTAAGTATATTCGCGTTCGGCATTTTCGCCACCGCCAGGAACGGCACTGTTGCGGTACGGACGCGAAGTACTCATAAGGTTCTTAGAATAGTAATTTATTTAAGTTTTTTTTATATTTAGATCGATAGTTTGTACTCAGTCACACAGTCACTCACCTCCCCCGTTCTAAATAAATTTAATTAATTGTAGGCTCCAATCTTTTATTTTTTTTTTTGTACCATCACCCACGGCCTTCCCGGTTGAGCGTAGTCGCGGTCGAGAGCCTCGTAACATAACATTTAAAAACATACATATCGAGTATTATATAGCTCTATTTTATATTTATTAATTATGTTTGTGTTGCAAGTAAATAGTTTATTCATAAACAAAAGATGCTGAGTCTTAAAAACATAAATTTCTTCCCTGTCTTAAATCTTGCACAAATGAGATGACGTCAAAAGTGAGTTGCTCTTAATTTTTTTTTTCATATTATATTTCCATGTAATTATATTTATTAATAATTTTATTTTTATACGTCCATAACGACCTACGCTTTATAAAACAGAACAAGAGACTTAATGTATATAGTTTATAATCAGAATTAAAAAATGTCCCATCTAACAGGTAACACGAATTAAGACTAGTAATGAGACATTATTTTTTAACCTCTGCCTATGCGTCACTGCCAAAAAGGAACATATACAGAAATAAGCTCGAAAAATAAAATGATATATTTCATCATTTTATTAATTCTAATGCAAAATATGTTGATCGGCAACAAAAGCAACACAAAGGAAAAATTGGAAATTAAAAAACGAATCTATTTCAAGGTCAGAGATATCGTTCTAAAATAAAAATTAATTAAATAATTTCTTCACTTTGATCGTAAGGAAAATAAATAATAATTTGAATACGAAATAATAACAATTGATCATCGAGTTTTGTGTATTGACTTTCGTACTCAGTTATAGGTATATCTATTTAACATTAAATTTTCAAAAGTTTAGATTTTTCCAATGTAATCTTGAGCTCTAAAATAAACTGGTAATGTATAATGTATAATTATAATTGAGTATTTCGTGGTTAATCTTTAAATTATTATTTTCTCAAAAAATTCACTTCATTTCATATCCAATATGTAGCTAATTGAAAACTGATAATAAAATAGCAGATACGACAAAATAGTGTAGACTTTTTTTAATGTCGGTAATAGAGTGTATGTATATACTCGTACCAATACATCGGGTATGTTTCTGTTTTTGTCTTCGTTCGACACCACTATATTTACAGTATTTACGCAGGTATACGTTTCCGCCCCTAAAATCCCACGTAAATACAGTGTCTGGAATGAAGACAGAAACAGAAACATATCAGATCTGGCGATTCACATATAGTTTTACAACACCTTATCAAAATTTAAAAAAACCACTATGGTATTATTTGAAATTGATTGTTAAAGATTATATGGTCAATTAGATGTGGGTCGTCGTATTCTTTAAAAAGTGGCCTTCGTCAGTGAGTTCGTAATGCTTAATTAACAATTAATAATTATATTCAGAGCGAAAAATACTACGGCTTTATTAGAAATACACCAAAGACAAGTTTTGTCATTCTAATAATGTCTAATAATAATTATTATTTCTATAAACTTGTTCACTGTTTAAGTTTAATTTTGTAAGTACCTGCTTGGAAAATTATAAATAGAACATCTGGGGTAATACAGGGAAGACCCAACGACACAAGCAAAGTCATAAAAATTCTTTGTCCATTGTCCCTAAAACGGGACAAGGTTTTGAAGAGTTCATTCGTCGAATTTTGATTTTATAAAGACGTTTATAAAGCAATTATGGGTACCAAAAAAATTAGAGAATGGTTAACTTTTAATTTTATTAAATTTATTTCATCTAATGAAAAATAACGCTCAACCTCTGCATTTACTATCCACCAGATGTTTGTGCAGTCGGACGATCCTTTTTTTCAGTATTTATGTTTATTGCACTTCACACTCACAGTGAAGCTTTCGAATTACGTTTGGCGTTGGCCATTTGGTTCACAACCACTGAACCTTTCTCTTGGATCTGTCAATCACTTCATTTTTAATGCAGTTTTGTAAAAATTGTTCGTTCAGCAGGAAAATTCCAGAATGGCTGGGACAAAAGCAATGAATATCATGAAAGGTATTATTTTGCAATAAATATAATTATTACAATTTTTATTTTTGAAGAAATTACAATGAAGACCCATTTCGCAATAGAAAAAGAAGTAGAACAACGCTGCTCAGAGTGGCTACGACATTCTAGTCAACGCCTAAAGAAAGAAAAAACAACGACAGTTTATAGTTTCTGGCTCTTTTTTTAAGTGTAAATTATATTGTATTATTTTCAAATTAGGAAATCATATATACATATATTTATTTATTTATATTATGAATTTATATTACTTTTTGTATTTTATTACTTATTACATATTATATTTTTTCAAACATTGAGTAAAATAATAATTTACTTGAATTAAGTTCTGTTAGCTCTAAATTTTACTCTCCATATCCATATCCCTAAATGACACATATAAATGGTAACTAGACTTTTTGAAATGCCTATTCATATCGCATAGATCATGTTAATAAAACATACTGAGAGTCATATGTTTACGATGTTGCTATATAGGTATACGTAACGTCTATTTCTATTTATACGTTATATTGGCGATTAAAATAAAACGTAACTGATACATCAAAATATAGAGAATCTAGCGACGTACTAACGCAACGTTATGACGATGTACCAGCGAGCACGTCTCTAGTCTGAAACAATGTGAATGTCACCGGTATGTTACAAGCATTGGTGACTGTTGATTACATTATATAGCACAGAGAAGCAAATATACGCAGTCTGGGATGTAACAGCTAATAAGGTCGTAGACACGAGTTAAGTGCCATGAACATCGCTACTACGTAACTGTGTTTACTGGGAATACACTCAGGTTGTGCCAGCGTCGCAAATGACTCTACAGAAACATGATATTTCCAGGACATCCCTAATATTAACTTTGAAACTGCGTGAAATATCTGATTATGCGATTTTCGCTCCATACGAGAGTATATCTCCCTGAATTTGCACTTTATTTTTATGAAAAGAAAAGAAAACGTACACACTAACCAATGACTTACTACCATCTGTTTCCAACATGTACGTTGCGACAAGGACGGGCATCACGCTTTAGTATATTAACAAAATCTGTTACCAAGATGTTACATATGTAGGTACATAAAATGCCGCCCATGTTGTCACTACGCAACAAAACGTTACCCCTGGCCGCTGTATGGTCGCTTACTAAATTAAAAACAGGACTGCGTTCGAGAACGTATGAAATAACCTTAATCAAACTTGATTGAGCTACTTACAGATGACGTTGAGCCTAGCTCTTGCCCGAATTGCCTTATGAGGCCTTGCCGGTCCCACTTGACACTCATATTCGGCGTCGTCCTCTAGGGAAGCATTGCTCACCCTCAAGTTGTATATGCCGTGAGGACGGTCAACGACCATTGAGTGTCGAGGCAAACCCGGAATAACCGACGAGGACCCTGTGGACAAACAGAACATGATTTAATTAACGTTGTAGGATTCGTCTTTAATTAGTTGTAAGCGGAATTTTTAGTGGAGGTCTTAAAGGCGACAAAACCAATCAGTTTCAATTATTAACCTCCACTTAAGACAGATATCTCAGACGCCCAGGGTGAATTTTGAGGGCAGTTAGTAAAAATCTAGTCTATTTCAGAACTCCGTTCGTCTAAGCCATAATCCGGGGTTATTGTAAATCAACAATTATCACACAGTAAGTAGGCTTTTACCACCGGACTTCTTTTGTTAAAGAACAAGCTGTCCCCTTCTTTTCGCCGGTAAGCGTTGAATTTAAGGCTGTCCTTGCCTTTCAGTATAGAGCAAATGAGTTTAAGCAAGAAAACCATAGTACAGTTTCAGCATGGTTGTATGATATAGCGATTTACCCAATGCTTAAAGCAGTGACGTTAAAAATGTCGAAACACTGCATTTATATGTACAAGAGAAACTGAAATACCAGTTTTTTTTAAAGGTAACCTATTTCTTTATTATTTACAATTAAGAAAATAAAACGAATCGTTTGCTCTATTGTTGCAGTAATTTTTGAGAATTATCATCTCTAAAGCGATCGACCGTTGAGAAACCCTGAAATCTGTCTAAATTTGAAGCAGTTTATGACTTAAGCGAACGGAGTTCTGAAATAGACTTTAACCGATGGGACGTGAAGGCCCAGGTGTGTTGTGATGGCCGGAATCGGGTTGTGTGATAAGAGCAAAGAGTTGGGTGTTAAGGTGTTGATAAGAGAAGCTGGCAAGTTAGGGTGAATCTGTCCACGAGAGAAGTGTTGACGCGTAAAATCTCCAACATATACCATGGTATGTAAAGTCGCCCAAGAGCTATAAGCTTATATGACCATCATAAAAGAAGACAAATTTTGTTGATGGCACGTTATCAAAAAACGTTTTTGTAATTGGCTGTACTGTGTCGTATTTTGCGATCAATAATATTAATTTCATAAGGGTTAAATGCACGAATGATGAAAAAGTTGGTATGATCTTGATTTTTGGAAAATGCGAAAAAAATGCCGTTGCAACAGCAAATCTCTACGAAAGAAGATATCCCGACAGGCGACATCTATCATCCATCCGACCAAATCTTCAGATGTTTAGAAAACACGTTAAGACAAAATTGGCCGAAAGAAACCATAAATAAAGGACTTACCGCTACTGGTGTCGAAAATATAATTGGTGTAATTGAAGCCGCAGACAATGACCCGCATGTGGGCCAAAGATTTATAGCACGACAGGTAGGAATATCTCAATCTTCCGATTCAAAAACTTTGAGAGCGAATAAGTTCCACCCTCACCATGTGACATTAGTACAAGATCAAAAATAAGAAGAATTTCCAGGAAGAATACAAATTTGCAATCTTATGCAACATCAACTAGAGTTGGACAACAATTTTTTATTCAAAGTTTTGTTCAGCGATGAAGCTAGATTTGACAACAATCCACACTGGATCAGAACTGCTCATTTTCAAAATGTTTATTTCATAAATGTGTGGGTTGGGATTATTGCAGATTACGTAATTGGCCCATACTTTGAAGGCAACTTAACAGGACACAGGTATCGATAATTTTTGGAAAATGATTTTCCGAGGTTATTAGAAAATGTTCCTCTCAACTTCCGAAAAGAGCCGTGGTTTCAGCAGGGTGGGGCACCACCTTATTATCACAGAGTCGTTAGGGACTATCTTGATGAGACGTTTGCAAATAAGTGGATTGACAGAGGCAGTGTGAATGCATGGTCCCCTCGTAGTCCCTACTTAACACCGTTAGATTTCTTCCTCAGGGGGTTGTAAAAGAACAAGTTTACCAAAGTCCGATTCGTAATTGTGAAGATTTAAAAACCAGAATTAGAAATGCATGTGCTCAATAACTCCTGAAACACTTGCCCACGTCCGGTTGTCTTGAGTTGCTGATGCAAATGCAGACTAAAAAGGACTACGTAAGTTTTATTTGGGTGAGGGTATGGGTCAGTCCATTATAAGCTTAGCGCTGTAAACGTACTCAATAGCACACCTTTGCTCAGAGCAAGTCATATGACAACGCTGACAAATCTAATTTAGGTTTATACTACCAAGCAAATTCATAAAGTGGTTCGGTCTCAGTTTATGAAAAAAAGTTTCTTCTGGCTTTTGCCTCCGGCACTTGATCTGTTTATGAGTTGCAAAAATCGCTTTTCTTGGAAAGTCGGTACGTTTTTAAAACTTAAAAACATTCAGTGAAAGTGATTTTTTGCGTATGTGACGAATTTATGTAATGTAAAATTCGTGACATTTTGCATCTGCTTATGATTGTGCTTATGATATCTTCCACAAAATAAAAATTCCTACCTAAGACGAATCCATTTTTCGCCCATTGCACTTGACCCGTCAAATTAGCCACCTCGCATTCCAGCATCGCCTCACCACCTTCTTGCACTTGAACATCCCGAGGCTGCACTCGGAAATATTGTTGTCGACCATAGACCAAACTTAAACCGACGGTCATTAAGCACACTGCAAAAAAGGGACATTGTTAAAAAAGAGTAACTGCAACGAGGGTTGCCTTAAAAATTTAAATTTATTTTTGTTCCAAACCTTTTCTCTACGCATTATTTTTTATGTTGGCTTGTTTTAAAGGGGAACGCTAGACGACAGACAAGTTTGAATTGGGCGCCATTCGTTGCCTTAAACGCAACCAGCAATTCTTCTTTATATCCACCTGACGCGCTGAGATACACTATGACGGGACACGGGCCATAAAAACATCGTAAGCCGACAATGAAGAAAAATGATAATTTATGACAGGCTGCCACAACGTACATTCAGCACAGAATAATCATTTCCCGTATTCTTTTGAAATATTAATTTTAATATTCGAGATAATTATTATATTCAAACACATTTGGACACAAGTCTTATCAAGCCCGTCTATTAATTTATTCGCCTAAATGTATTATTAATACCGTTTTCTTGTTATTTAGATAATAAAAGAATGATTTGATACGATCGGTAATATACAGAACGAAACGGCATTAGGGTTTTTAATTTTGATGAATAATTTTAAACTTAGATGGATACAAATTATATTGTGCGGATTATGAATATACAGGGTGATTTAAAAACGTTTGGCAAAAATCCAATAGCGTACTATACAAGTCAATAAATATGTACAGGGTTATGATCACTGGTTATCTATTATTATATACAGATAATTATCTGGATATAGATAAAATCTTTCTTTAGTAGTTGGCAGTTTAATTATTGTAATAGTAATTTTGACATTTCATGTTGGTGATGGTGGTTTCATACAAAAAATACAGATAAAAGGTCGACTAGTAGGTACGTTCTATGACTAATACCAAGCCAATAATCTGTTTACCAAAACTCCCATATTTTAAATGTACTGTACCATCATATTCTATATTGCAACCTTCAGTATTATCCATCTTTAAATATACTCCTGAAGGGTAATAAATCTGCTACCATTAACCATAATCCACTATTGTTGAATGTTACCATAACACCTTGTGAAGGGGGTATTTAGCAGCGAAAGCCAAATTCTTACACCAAGAAAAAATAATTTAGACGAAAGACATTTGAAATGTTTATTTTAAAAGATTCATTAATATATATTTTGCTTTGCTAATTAATAAAACTAATAAACATATTTACAGTTTGGGAAATTTCATTCTACCCTATAACATTTTATTGACAAAACGAAACGGACAGTGGTACAATGGTAAGAAATATTTATGGCTCACACCAGTGCATCCGAATTTGTCAGAGAACATTTAGCAGGTGGTTGTACTCATTAAATAATGGTCATTTTCGTTTGTGAGTAACGATGGTCCCTGTCCGGACCTGAATTATTCTGCTTTCTAACATCTGGGGATTACCGGCACGCGACAACTTTAAGTTATAAATATCTCTTGCTATTGTCCAGTTCGTTATTGCCAATAAAATTTTATAGGGTAGAAAGAAATTTCCAAAACTATATAATAATAATAGTAGAAAATATGTAAAATACAGCTTCTGTTTAACACGTGTAAGTAGCCAAGTGTATATACTACTTATCCCAGAAAGGAGGTGTTTTAAAAAAGCCTTACGTCCAGTAATTTCTCCCTATATTACTTACTTGAAAAATAGTTTTACAAAAAGTGCTCGTATATGTTTTCATTTGCCGAGAGATCATTTTCGAAATATATTTATAATGAAAATATGCAAGTATTGCTGATAAAAAATGTACTCCTAATAGATTATCAAAGTACATAAAAATATAGCAACAAATCTTATTTATTAAAAAAAATCTGTCGCAAAGGCAGGTTCTTCTTTTTCTTGAATCAATTATTTCGGGCCATAATGCCCCAAAGTAAAATCTGACAAGTTCATCTACCATCTTTTTAGATATTTCTTCGTCTTTGTGAATTTTTTTTATATTTATTCCTTTGGGTGTTCACACAACAAAATAAACTTGCGAAATACCCGTAACAAGCATTTATCCCTGGACTTGAAAGTAGTAATCATGATTTTTTTTTAGTTTCAAATCTCTACCTGTCAGTAGCAGTCAGGACCAGCATACGTACATCTTTTATGACAATTTTTTTTATGAATATTTTGTCTAAAACGAGCTTGTTTCATAGACGAAAAATATGTTTTTTGTTATTAAACCAGGGTCGTTTTTTGTTAATTTTTTTCAGATTGTTTCATGATTCATAAAGTAACCTCATTTGACATACACCTGTTAAAACTTTTATGACTTAAGCGGCTTAAGCCTAACCACCCTTAAAAGTCAAACAGGCTATTGTATTACTTAACTCAGTTCACAGCTACATTATGCCAACAATGGACAGCAATAATCTTGCGGTTCGGGTCCACAAAGCTTACAATAGCCAGTTTGACTTATACGGGTGCTTTGGCTTATACCCCTTAAGTAATAAAAGTTTTAACAGGTGTATGTCAAATGAGGTTACAGTACCTTTTTCAGAATTTTACAATAAGGCTGCACCGTACACTTGGTCGTATAGGCACCCTTTAAAGAAAAATTCACCCCTTTGCCGCCATAAACTTACTGATTACAGAAATATAACCTTGCGATAAGTTGTTGGTAACATTATCTGCCATCCTTTCATTTCGAAACAAAATTTCATCAAAAAATCCATTATTCATCAACAGTGGGACAAGATTTTGTTCTACAATCTCCACCTTTTTTTTCAGATTGTTCAGTACAAAAAGAAGTTAATTTTGATACGTAATTGCGAATAATATGATTTTTACGTTCAATTTTTTGAATATTGAATTGTGAATTTTAGTCCCATTTGACCTTTTGGCAATAAATTATTTTTATGTTAAACGAGCCATTATTATGCGACTTTGATAGAAGTATGGACAAACAAAAAACATATTTGTCTAAAAGGCACAAATTACCGGCTTACATACAGCCAAAAATTATTCTTCATTTTATTAAACCAGCAAAAACTGACAAAAACGAAGCACTTTGATAGATTTTTCTTTTAATTTTTAGATACCTACTAGATACAAAAAATAGACACTTCTTGAAACTTTGGCCAATAAAACAACTGATAACAAGTTTTTATTTTTTTTTTAATGAATCGTTTAAAATAAATATGTATTTCAAATGTGTTTAGCCTAAATTATTTTTTCGTGGTGTAAGAATTTGGCTTTCGCTGCCCAAACACCCCCTCCACAAGGTTTTATTGTAAAATTCTGGGAATAGTGGATCATTACCCTTCAGGATTATATTTAAAGATAGATAGAACTGAAGGTTACAATATAGAAAATGATGGTACAGTACATTTAAAATATAGTTTTGGTAAACAGATGATTGGCTTAGTATTAGTCACAGAACATTACTAGTGAGCTTTTTATATGTATTTTTGTGTACGGAACCACCATCACCATGTATTTTTCATCTAGATACAGACATTTTGTGCCTAAATGTGTTTTTATCTATATACAAATAATAGGATTTTTGCCAAACGTTTTTAAATCAGCCTGTATATTCATAATCAACACAAATATAACTTATACCCACCTAAGTTTAAAATTATTCATCAAAATTCAAAACCAGTATTAATAATACATTTAGGCGAATAAATTAATAGACGGGTTTGATAAGCCTTGTGTCCAAATTGCGTTTGAATATAATAATTATCTCGAATATTAAAATTAATATTTCCCAAGAATACGGGAAATGATGATTCTGTGCTATATGTATGTTGTGTGCAGCCTGTCATAAATTATCATTATCCTTCATTATCGGCTTACGATAGTTTTGTGACCCATGTCCCGTCAGCGTCTATCTCAGCGCGTCAGGTAGATTTAAAGAAGAATTGCTGGTTGCGTTTAAGGCAACAAATGGCGCCGAATTCAAACTTGTTTGCCGTCTAGCGTTCCCCCTTACAACAACGTAGATTTCATTTCTTACATTCAAGTTCTGTGGCCACTTCGTGTCGTTTACCTCATCCACAGGAGCTAAATCAAGTATAAATTAATAACGGCAAAATTATTTTAAACCTCCGCCATCTCCAAGATAATTATTGCCTTTGCAACTTATTTTCGCACATAAAAAGCCACAGTGCCACAGTTTAGTTACAAAATAAAAATCCTGCACTTACATATCTGTCGTGCGTAATCCATAATGGCCACAAAAAAGTAATCCTATAAACGAACGTAATCACTAAATTACTGAATCTTTCACAGAACAAATGGAATTTTCGTAAGTGTTCCACCCTCACGCAGCGTTAAAGTCACTTTACTCAAATGTGCACAGAACTGGTGTGAAGAGTTATTGCGCACTAATGAACCACATAGTTAAGATAGTTAGTACAAATAATCTCGACCTCGCATCCCGTTGAGTAACCGCGAAATAATCACTGAAATCATCAATGGGCAGGTAGTACTTTCACAACACAGCACGAGTACTTCACTATCGCTGAAACGATGAATGAAAATCGGAGTTAACGTGAAACTTTCAGCTTTTTCAGGCGGACTTGATGAGGTCACACGATCGCCAACTGTCATCGAGATTTCCTGGCGCCAATTAGAATATAGAGGTGGGGAGATCGATTTAAAAGATCGGAATCGAATCGATTCCCTGCGAGTACGTCCGATATCGATTTTTTAAATGCTAAATCGATTTTTACTCAGAATTTCAATTATGTTATAAATAATTTGATGATGCAAGCGTATTTTTAGAATGTCAGAAGTTATAGAATATAGAATAATAAAAATTAAAAAGTATGAACTAGCGAAGTAAAATTTATTAATGCGCATGCACCTGTCAATATATTTCCCTATTTCCGCAGAGGAACGCTAGACGAGAGACAAGTTTGAATTGGGCGCCATTTGTTGCCTTAAATGCAACCAGCAATTCTTCTTTTAATCTACCTGACGCGCTGGGATAGACGACTACCGAACGTGGGTCATAAAAACATCCTAAGCCGATAATGCAGAATAATGATAATTTATGACAGGCTGCACACAACATACCTTCAGCACAGAATAATCATTTCTCCTAGTCTTTTGACATATTAATTTTAATATTCCAGATAATTATTATATTATTCAAACACAATTTAGGCACTGTAGAGCAAACAAGGCTTACCAAGCCCGTCTATTAGTTTATCCTCCTAAATGTATTATTAATACCGTTTTCAAATTACACCAAAATTGAAAAATCGAAAAGTTAATAATAGAAAAATTGAAACATTTTAAATGAAAAAAATCGGTAAACCGAAAAATTGAAAAATCTATAAATCAAGAAATTGAACAATCAAAAATTAAATAATTTAAAAATCGAAGAATTGGAAAACCAAAAAATCTAAACCGAGAACTTAAAAAATCGAATAATCGAGAAATCAAAACATCAAGGAAAACAAAAAAATTAACGGAAAATCTACAACTTAAAATTTGAAAAACCCAGAAATTGAAACATCAAAAAATGGAAAAATTGAAGAACCGAAACATTGCAAAATCCCAGAACTGAAATACTGAAAAACTGAAAAATGGAAGGAAAATTGAAAAATCGAAAAAGTGAAAAAATTCAAAACTGAAATCTTGAAAAACTGAAAAATGGAAAGAAAATTGAAGAATCGGAAAAGTGAAAAAATCCAAAAATGAAACATTGAAAAATTCAGAAATCGAAAAATTGAAAAATCACAATTGAAGAAAGAATTGAAAAATCGAGAAATAGAGAAATGGGAAAATCAAAAAATCAGTTAATCGAAAAATTGAAAAATCGAAAAATTTAGAAACGCCAAAAATTGAAAACTGAAAAATAAAAAAAATTAAAAATCGTAAAACTGAAATATCAGAAAATTGAGAAATCGAAAAATGAAGAAATTCGAGAAACCGAAAGTATGAAGAACCGAGAAATCGAAGAATCGATAAATTGAAAAATCTCAATAGTAATATGTCGAAAAATTGA